TCCTCCTCTATGCTTCCCTCATTTTGTGGGTATTTCTTTTATTATACTTACCCTGAGCCATAAATGATATCTGTCTCTCTCATTAGAGTGTGAGCAGCTTGAGGTTAGAGTCTGTCTTTCATGCTTGTACCCCTAGCTACTAACACTCTCCATGGTACACCATTCATTCATCCATTCAATAAAGATTTATTGAGTGCATACTATATGGGTTAAGGGATTGTACAGACAGATGTTCTAGTTGTTTAGCTGCTGTCTCCCAGCACCATATCCACCTTTCATGCTCTGCTTGTGAACCTGGGATTCTACAAACTATTTTCTTCTTTGCTGTGAGACTTCCTGTTTCACCAGCAGTGGCTCCAGAAGTAGACTGGAAGACAAGAGGAGAAAGTAGGGACCTGCTCCTTCCTTTCTGCTAGCTGGATTCCTCAGCAACGGCCTTTGTTCCTGGTTGAGTAGATGGTTGTGGCCTCCAGCCCTTTTCAACACTCCTGAACAACCTCCCGTGCATCCTCAGAAGTGAGCAGCAGCTGGGTGGGGTCTGTCAGAGGGCTGGGTCTCAGCTCTGTGGGCTCCTCCCCTGAGTCCCTAGATTCCCATTGCTTCTTATACTTCTTACCTCTGAGTCACTTCAGTCCTCTTTTTAAAAAATTTTCTCTCCTTCTAGTATATTTTAAATAAACTTTTATTAAATTGTCACTGTAGAAATATTTAGTGCAATTCTTGTTTACCCAAAGGGACCTTGACTGATGTAACAAAGGAAGGTCCCTGGTCTTGTGAACCTCAAGTTCAAGTTGGGGAAGAGGGACAACTAACTAATAAAGAGCCCAGTAATAAAAAGTGTTCTGATGAAAAATAAGACAGGGTAACGGATAAAGTCTGGACCACTTTAGATTGGGTCGTCAGGGAAGGCCTCTCGGAGAATCTGACATTTAAGCAGAGATAGAAATAGTAAGTGTTTGTCCATGCAAAGAGCTGGGGAAGAATATTCCAGAGAAAGGGACCGGCCAGTACAAAGGCCTTATAGAGGGAGTTGGCTTGTTGTAGTCAAGGATCAGGAGGAACTCTGGAGTGGAGCAGGGAGGGGTGTTGGAGAGGATGAAGTCGGGGAAGGCAGGGCGAGGCTAGATCATCAGGGCCTCCTTAGCCATTGCACAGACTTTATGTTTATTCTGAATGTGTTAGAAAGCCTTTGGAGGGTTTGACAAGTGAAAAAATCTGACTTGCAGTTTTAAAAGATCTCTCTAGCTGCCGAAGAGATGATCTGAGTATACAAGAGCAGAAGCTGCACTTTCCCCAGAGCAGAAGGTAGGCATCTTGCATGAATGAGGAAACTGAGACTGAGAGAACTTACAAGATGTGTCCTAGGTCACCTGGTTTGGGACTTCAGATCAGTGCTCCTTTGTGGCTGCCCATTCTCTAAGTGAGACATAACTGAATGAGCCCCAGGCTAAGGTTCTCGGCCTAGTCTAGGAAGAGGATGAACCCCCTTGGGCAGCCAGACACACGCTCTTGACAATGTTCTTGCTTCAGGAAATGTCTGGTGGTGCCCGACTTCTGTTTTGTTTAGTTACGGTGTGTGTGTGTGTGTGTGTGCGTGTGTGTGTGTGTGTGTGAGTGTGAGTGACAAAGAAAAACTGGAACCCTTAGGGATTCTGTAGATGTTGGCATGAGAGGCCAAGTTCTAAAGTTACACATTCTCTTTTCCTCTTCCAATCCACCAGCCAATCCTTTGACCCTCAACCTATTTCCTAACTCTGACCACATTTCTCCAGGGACACCATTTCTATTCTATCACAAAGGGCGCCTCCCACACAGATTATAATGTGGATGCTCCCTGGGGTTGTGCAGAAGTTTTGCTTCCCTGCATCCCACTGCTGCCACCCTATTGAGCCACCATCCTCTCTCCACTTGATTTATTGCAGCCAAGACCCAGGTCTTATACAAGGGAAGACCCCGGCTAGGAGGGCCTCACAGACAGAGTGAAGGGTACTGTGGAGCTTGGGATTTACCTTAAACAGGCAGAAGCGGTATTTTGGGTAGAAGGGAGGGTTCTCTTTTTAAGTGGAGGTGGCAGTAAGAGAAAATATTTCAATAAGCTTCAGGCAAGAGGTCTGTGCTTTCCTGAAAGAACTCTTCCTCCTGTGGATAATATAAGCTGGCACTGTGGGGGATCGGAGGGAAAATGGCTGGATGCGCCCCTGGAGTGCTGCGGAGGTGATTTCAGTGTTTTCCTCCACGACTAGGAAGAGGAGGAGATGGAAGGCTGTGCATGAAGCTGAGACATCCTTCCATGCTCGGGAGCTGGAGAGGCACGAGTGTTGGGAGGCCCCAGTGTCTCAGACCCGCTTCTGAACGGGCACCGTGTTCTGATGGGCTTCCTCCGCCTGCCTCAGTGATTCCTCTGACTGACTCACCACGTTCTTCCTCCCCAGTCAGATCCCTGCTCTGTGTGACCAGGCCAGTCCCCACACCTGCCGCAGTGACGCCTGGGATTGGCTGGCTTCTGTGAGGTCCAGCCAGCTAGCTTCTTGCCACCATCATATTCTTCCTCATTAAACAAATGAATCACAATCCTAATTAATTTGAGCAACAGAATTTATGTAACTACTCCCAGCAGGATGTCTGCTCTCAGTCGGTAGTGAGATTAATTCCTCTCTCTGGGAAATTCCAGCCGTGCTGGTCAATAAACCTTAATGATGACTGAAATCTCCCATCTGTCTCTGCTCAGGGCAGGTAACCCTGCTAACCAGACACCCAGCAGCTTGACACAGTACCCCAGACACTGAGGGGACAAGGACGAGAATGTCCTAGCCTAGATGGGTCCTGAGCCATGTGAAACACACAGTAGGTGTTCAATTAAGGACAGGGACTGCCCATTCTAGGGATGTCTGAATCACTTGAAACTCACAGGAAGTATTCAGTTTCTATTTATGAAATGAATAAGAGAGACCATGTGTTGCTCAGATACTTGCAAAATGGTCTCAAGCTGCTGAACTACAACCAAGCCCCTCTCTGGCTTTTTCCATCCTTCAACCCTCTCCTTCCCAGGACCATACCCGCTTTAGTCTCACACTATTTTAAACTTTCTGGGCTCAGGGAATTGGCTCTTGATGTTCCCTGCCCTTGAACTATCCCAGTCCTCTCTCTGCAAAACAGGCCCCATGCTGGCTGCATGGGAGGAAGGGTAGTGAAGTGGAAAGTATTCTGGAATTAGTTCTAATTCTGGCTCTGCCACTTACTCATTGTACTTCGCTTCTCTGTTCTTAACCTTTTCCTCGTATGTAAACCACACGAGGTTCTTAGGAAGACTAAATAAGAAAACATGGTGAAAGTGTATCTCATGATGTTTGACTTATTTAGTGACGGGCAGTGTTTTAGGCAATGGGGTACAGTGGTGCTCAAGACAAGATTCCACCTCCCAGAGAACTTCTAGGCGACAATAAGAAATAAAACAATATACAATTTTAGTTATGGATTGGTGTGCTCCGAGAAAATAAGAAAAAATGTTATGGAGACTGACTGGAGAGAGGAACTTTCTGAGGAGATGCCATTTGCGTTGAGACCCAAACGACAGGAGTAAGCCACATGAAAATGTGGGGGCACGACACTCCAGAAAGAGGGAGAGTGATTGCAAAGGCCTGGAGGTGTGAGCGAGGATCACTGGGATAAGGTTCAGTAGGATTGAATAATTGGCCCAGTTACCTCCCTAGGATGTCCTGGGGTCAGGATCTGAACCCAGGTCTTTTGCCCTTAAGTGTGGAGCGCTTGTCATCACAGCATAGAGGTGAGGAAGAGTGAAAGGAAAAGTGAGGGTGGACACACTGTCTTGTTTCTACCAGATCTGTGACTTCCTGACAGTTTATTTGCATGATTGTTCCCCTTAGGGCCTTCAACTCCACCAGCCCAGCTCTCATGTTGGGGACCACCAGCCCTAAAATCTCCCTCAGTGAATCAGTTGCAATTCCTTCTTAATTTATGACAGGCAAGAACCAACCCCTTTTACAATTTGGAATTTTAAAAAAATTATAGTACATGTACATGGTGGAAAATTTAAAAAATGCATATGTAACAAATAAAAATCAGCCATAATTTCAACCTTTTCTGCTTAAAAATAATTTTGTGTGTGTGTGTGTGTTTATCTTTCTGGTTAAGTTTCTATGCACACAGATACTTTGCAAGATTAAGAACATCCTACACATAGTTTTGGATAATGCTTTTTTTCCTCATGTCATGAAAAAAAATGTCTTCAAGTGTATTTTTAATAGCTGCATAATAGTTCACTGCAGGCCAATCCAAAAGTAACTATTTTAGGGCTTTTATTATAAACTAGAGGCCTGGTGCACAAAATTCATGCACGGGTGGGGTCCCTAGGCTTAGCCAGCCATCAGGGCCTATGGGGCTGGGCCTATGGGGCCTGCTGGATCAGGGGAGAAATGGGGGAGGGACCGGATCGCAGGAGGTTGGCTGGCTGTAGGAGGTTGGCCGTGGGAGCGCACTGACCACTAGGAGGCAGCTCCTGTGTTGAGCATCTGCCCCCTGGTGGTCAGTGCATGTCATAGTGACTGGTTTGTTCCAGTCATTTGGTTGTAATGGTCGCTTAAGCATATATATATATATATATTAACACAGAGATCCTTCTTACCAGTAAATCTTTGTTACATAATGTGCCAATAGAGCAGGGTGAATGCCCTTCCACCTGGGTACAAGGTGCTCAGGGAAATCATTCTCTTGGCTGGGGGAGAGGGCACTTGGGCTCCCAAACACCCTGCCCATGAGTGTAGCATGGTTCACGCTGCCCTCTACTGAGAAGTGGACAGTTACACTTTACCTTCATTCGCAGCCTCTCCCTATCATTTTGATCCTGGGAAGGATACAATGAGGAAAATGAGAAGAAGGGGGAATGCAATTTAATGTTACATTTGAAACAAGTATTTAAATAATACTTTAGACACATGAGTATTATTTAATAATTGTTTTTTATTAAATAATAAATTGGCGGGAAGGTGAGGTGGGATCAGGGCATGGCTCAGTATGCCAGAGTCTAAGGTGCCTATGTTTGGCTTCTGTAGGGGCCTTCCATGGGGGTGGGCCTGGGAGGCAGGAGTCAGTGGTTCTAATCACTGGGGAGGTTGGGTTAGAGTGGGGGTGCCCATCTGTAGGTGGCCCTGAAGAACAAACAAGGAACCAAGGGGATGTCTGAGTGTGCGGGGAGGAGCCATATTCACTCCAGCTAGGGCAGGGAGGCTGGTCTTGCCTCCTGCAGTGGGTGCTCAGGCCAACGCCCCTCCTTCCAATTACCACCGTCCTCACATCTTCTCCAGATTTCTACTTGGCCTTAGAAAACAAAAGGGAAAAGAAAAGTCAAACCAGAGAGAAAAATACAGGGGGAAAAAAGGCAGTAAGAAGAACAGAGTGAAAGCGAGACCAATGAAACAGAGGGGAAAACAGCTGTGGGGGTGGCGGATGGTGTGACAAGTAGAAATCTTTTTGGAAGAAGCTACAGCAGCAACAGGTACCTGGGTCAGGACAAGCCTACTGCACCTCTTCAGCTGACAACCTCTAACTCCCAGGGGCCCAGGCCAAGTATGAAGGCACCTACAGGCCAGAGAAATGGCTTTGCCAACTCTACTCGCTGCAGACCATCCCTCTACATCGGGTTGGCGCCCTCTTGCAGAAAAGCAATTTCTTCAAGTTTCTGGAAGCTGATTACTTCTCAGCGGAGCAGAGCTGGGGCCAGGGGACAGCCCTCCCCGAGCATGCCATAGGCCCCCCCAATTTCTGGGGGAGGAAGTGGCCTGGGCTGGAGTCAGCAGGTGGGCGGAGGGAAGGGCGGGAGCAGGGGCAGGGCCCCATTCTCCCCACCCACACTCACCTTCTGTGGCCAGGTACCCTGCCTCCCCCCAGGCTGCGGGAATGGCGACGACACCCCCTGAAAAAGCCCATCTGTCATTGTCAGCGTGGGCAGGTGGTGTTGGTTGAGAAAATGGAGAAGCCATCAAATTCAAGGCTCATTCAACACTGTGGGAGCCGATCCCAGTTCACACGTGGTGAGATGGAACTTCTCAAAAGGACCCTTTACGGGAAACTACAGGAAAGAAACAAAACCACCTGTGAACAGGGTGGGCAGGGCTCCTCCCACCGACATCTCTATAGATCCCCTCCACCCTGTAGCCAGGACCACAGGCTGCGTTTCTTTCGAGCCCACACTCGGAGGCCCTTCCGGTAGGCAACTGTCCCCACGCCCTTCCGGCCCGGGCACCCCTCCTCCATCCCTGAGCACCCCCCTTCCCCCCAGCTCTTCCCCTCTGACCCATCGCCTGTCCTTATGTTCACAATGAACTGGCTGGGCTTGAGACGCGATGTTTTCCAAAACAACAACAGCAAAAGGGGCTGAGAGATTATGAGGAATCAACCTCCTCCTTTTGAAAAAGCAACTAAAGCGCAGGACCAGGGGGAAAGGGACCCCAGGTCACACAGGGACTGCTGGGTGCGGCAGAGTCCAGACAGTCCCGTCTTCCTAACGCCATCACCCACCCCAACCCCCAACATTTACGTGGTGTAAGCCTTGTCCCCGTCCTCCTCCTAAGCTGCGTGGGGGGCTAGGCTGGCTGGACTGATCCTCCGCACGCCCGCCTGCCCATGATGTGCCCACCTGCTCATGATGTGCCCACCTGCCCATGATGTGCCCACCTGCCCATGATGTACGGGATCCGCAGGTGAGAGGAGCAGGGCCCTCTCCACCGGCTCAGTTCAACGAGCCAGGAGACTGTTGGCCGGCCCTCCAACGGCTATTGGAGGTGGTGCTGCTCATTGGCTCAGCAGAAGTGATGGACAGGTCAGTAGCCCAATGAATGACGAGTCTGGGAAGCCAACTGGCGGAGGCCAGCCGGTTCTCTCCTCGCGAGACCCTGGGGTAACGGTTTCGGCGGTTTCGGCGGTTTCGGCGAGATCAGTTTACTTGTTCCCAGTCCACATCCAGCATGGCTCTAGGGGAGGGTGAAAGCCAGTTTTCTCCCTCGTAGAAGGAGCACATTTTGGGTCTACAAGTACAAGATTAACCCTCCCAAAGAACATGGGACTGTCATACTGCATGAACCCCTTAATGAAAGGGAGGGCTTGATGTGTTAAGAAGTTGAGGGGAAAATGAGTGGGCTCTAGGGAGGAAACATGGGCTGAAATGGGGACGAAAGACTCAGGTAGCCTGGGCTTAAGCTGTTTATGGCAGCTTTCGCGGACTGAAATGCCGAGATCATTCCTGGGGGACACGATGGGGTCACTACCGAGGACGCTCACAGCCTAGAGGCTGGGGACCCGGCTGGCAGGCAGGCGGGGCGGTGGCAGTGGTGTTTTTGTCTATGGACCCTGGAGAGGCCTCTGCAAGCGGGCTGGGATGGTGGCAGGGGAGGCCTGGACTAGGAGATTCTTTCTTAGGATGTGTAGGGATGGTTGAAGCACAGAGATGGAGTGGCTCACCTCTTCTGAGCACAGCCAGAGAAGTGGTGGCCTCTGGGAGAATGGCAGTGGGTCCCCACGTAACTTCTTAGAAGAGGAAGTCAGAGATGAAGAAGGACGAGGCAGGGAATTAAAGAAAACACGGCGAAGGGAAGAGTATTGTAGGGACCTGAGCTGGCGTTCCAGAGAAGCTGAGCAAACACATGCCTGGCACACGGTTGTTACTCTGTATGTGCTAGCTATCATCTTCAGTGCTTCCCTTGGGAGGATGGGGAAGGGAGGGGCCGCCGAGTCTAGCAGTTACAGCAGGATAGGAGCCGAGCGAAGTAAAAGGGAGAGCTAGGAAAGCAGGACATTCCAGCCGCCTCCCCGTTTCCCCGTGATTAGAGAATTGAAGCCACCCCTTCACTGGAGGGAGGATTGAGCCAAGTAGGAAGGGTTTTGGTATGAGCTGGAACTGGGATTCCAAAGGACAGAAAGTAGGAGTGAGACTGTCCTTCCCAAATCTATCTTAAAAGAGTCCTGTGAGAAGTGAGGCGAGGGGGGGGAGGTACAGTGTGAAGGAGAATGACACACCTGGGCAGGCCCTGGGTGAGCCGGTGTGGTTGCTGGGGTTGGGGTTTCGGGGAAGAGCCCATCTAGTTGTCTCTCCTGGGGGTCAGATTGAAGACTCCGCTGGAAATGCCCATCAGTCATTGTCACAAGTTCCAACTTACTCAGGCACCGCTGTTATTTGAGGATTGAGAAGGAAGAGACCTTCAAGGGGTTCTGGGTCAAGGAAACGATGTTTTCTTTTCTGTTTTATTTTTTCAAAGGGCAGTGCATATCAATGGAGGCTCCTGAATACTTTGGAGTACTGTACATAGTGCATACAGTTCCTAAAGGTTCTGAACAGAGGAACGGAAACCCTGTCATAATTTTCCATGGCCTTTCCTATCTCACTACTTTCTGTGTTTCCCCTTTATCAAGCCATTGAATCAAAGGCATTTGCTGGCTGCTATAGAGTAGGCAGTGCTGAGGCAGCTAAGAGAGAGTGATGTTGAAGGAAGAGTGAAGAATGCCTTGAGTCCCCAAATGACTCACTATGGATCTGTTGGGGGGTGGGGAACTGACAGGCTCACAAAGGGTAAAGCTACTTGGACTAGCCTAAACAAGCTAAGGGGCTCTGGTTCACAGTACCTGGGGGGGGGGGGCAGGCGAGAGAAAAGGGTAGGGAGGAGATAAAGTAGGCTAGAGAGAGACAGGGGAGACACAGAGAAGACAAGGATAAGGAGGACTGAGGCAAGATGGAGACCAGAGACAATAGGTGCTGAGGCTGGGTTGAGAGAGCTAAGGACACCACCCTGAAATGAGCTAGTTAAACTGCCAAGTCTTCAAAGTCTTTCCTATTTCTATTTCCACTGATTCTACTAATTTAAAAAAATGTGTAAAGTTATCAGAGTCTCCCAAGATTTCAAAAAGCATCGCATTTACTAACTTACACCCATTTTACATAAACCTTTCAGAATCTTACTGATGCTCACATGCAACTCCTGATGTTCTTACCATGGGGGTTCAGATCTGGATGACATGGGCAGAGGGTGCTTGTGAGAGCTAAATCTAGGCAGTCAGCTTCTGGAAGCTGCTCTCATTTTTTTTTTTACCTCCATGGATCAAGGGCTAAACAAACAGTTGTATAGAGGTGGAATGAGCTGATTTGGAGAATCTGTGTTTATCATATTGGGATGTGGTAAGATAGTGGCATTGCAGTTGGGGCACAAAGACAGTGATGATAGTGTCATGAGAGGGGCTGTTGGCCCTGGAGCGGAGAATCTGGTAGAGCACTGTGATGGTGGGTGAGCAGAGCATAGACAGACAATGAAGGCTAGTTTCTGATTATCTTGGATGGTTTGTGACTAGAAATGCTTTTCTGATGGATGGAGTAGAGACCCAGGCAAGAAGCTGGTAGGAAAGTATGGGCTGGGTAGGAAAGACACAACCACTACACAGGGCCCTGAAACCAACTGTTGCTAGTATGGGAAGGTACTCGTCCTCTCCTCTCAGAGGGCTATCAAACAGGCCAGTGAGAGTGATTAAGTTAGAGGAAGAAGTAAACAGATGAGAGAGCAAATGAATATGTTAGGGAATACTGAGAGAGAGGGAATGCCATTGAACTGATTCTTCCTCAGGTTCATCTAAGGTCTTTTTCTATTGCTCCTCACTAGATGGTCCTAATACAGCACCAAGGACATTTAGAAATGGGCCCAAGGTTTTCTGGGGCTTCAGAAAGTGGTCTTCATATTCTATAGCACTCACGTCAGCTAAACCTTCTCAATGTGTGGGGAGTATGTACAGGTTGCAAACTGGAGATTGAGTGTGGGAGGGCAAATGCCTTCCCTGAGCATTGATTGAACTTGTGTTGGTGACTCCAGATGTGGGAAATGTCCAGGAGGAAGGGGGATGGTTGGCTGGCCAGGAGCTAATTACCCCTGATCTCACAAATCTTATCCAAGGTTTTCCCTCAGGTCAGCAGGAAGTAGTGACGGGGTCTGATGGTCATGAGGAGGTTTTGAGGAGCTGACGGGGAATTCAGGTAGGCAGAGAGGACTTACTCTGAAGGAAGAAACAGCCTGTGGGAGGAGGGTAGATGAGCACACGAATCACGTACCTTCCTCTGTCCCTCCTAGGCCACGTCTTGCAGATGGCTTATCTGCGAGACTTGACTTCCCACCCTTCTCAGTCTCCTAAGCCTGTTCTCTGTCATGTGTCTTACAGTAAAATGAAGGAGGGGGAGAGAGGGAGGAGAGGAAAGAACAGGAGAGACAGAGATGGGGAGAGACGGAATCAAGTTGATTCATACACAGAGATGGATACACTGAAACAGTAACAGATCCTCTGTGTCTCTTTTGCTTTTCATCATAGTGATTATGCTCATTCTCAAGGGATATTTACCTCCTCACTAAAGAATTTAGAGTCCTCTGCTCTGACCCATAGTATTTTCTGAGCTAAATTCGCACTGGGTGCTTCTACTTGCTAAATAATGATTCTTCGGTTTATAAAGAATTGCAGTGATCCAGAGACAGTGGTCTGTACTGGTTTCTGAATAATTAAGAGCATTTCTGGGAGAGAAACCATGCCAGCCACCCCCTTTTCTTCCACCTGGGCAATTATGGGGAAAGGAGTGTTGAGGGAGGTGGTCAGAAATGGACAGAAGAGATGATGAAAATCCAATGTGAATGTCATGTGGGAGGAAAGTCAAAGAGCTGATGAGTTGTATTATGAAACCATGAAGTCTGCCCATAGGTCACAAATAGAGATGGTTATCCCTCAATTCTTTATTCTACTTGTGGCATAATTGGAACTTAATGTTTTTAACATTCAGGACTGATGTTTTGGGTGAATTATTTTTCTAGTTGAGAATGGGAGGAATCCCATCAGATGGGATTTACAGGAAGTAAAACTTCCCATCCTTGAAAAGAATTTTTGCACTATTGTCTCTGACTGCAGCTCCCCATTCCTCCTCCAAAGCCCCTCTTACGAGAAGTGCCAGCAGGCAGGGGAGTTGCCATGTTGGCTGCAGCATCATTGCTCCCATGGGAGTGGGCAGAGCCCTTTCACCATAGCAGCCCACGCATGACAAGACGGGAAGTTTTCAAGAGGAACTTTGAGAGTGGAATGAAAAATAAAAAGCCAACCAAACAAGGACACCAACCAAGTAGGAAGATATGAAAGACAGGAGTTAGATCTTTTTACTGGCTTGTAACCTGCTGTGATCCTAAGCTTAGATATTTGGTTCTATTGGATTCCAAACCTGTTCTCAGCTTGGTCTTGTGACAAATGGACAACTCCTGGGGCTGTCTCCTCCACAGTAGCATCTTTGTCTTTCTTGGGTGGGGGAGGCCCTTTCCAGTCTTCCCATAAAGCTCATCTTAACAGGTTTTAGTTCTGTCTCCTTCATCCTCTGTTTTAGGGTCCTGTGCTCTAGCCTAGACTCCCTTTGTTGACTAGTTAGGGTGCAAAGCCTGATTCTAAACTGTGTAGGGGCTGTCGTAGGAGTGGGGAAGAGGTGATAAGCTTTAACTGAAAGGCAGAGCAGCATTGTCAGGTCATTAGAACAAAACGCTGTCCAAGCTCACATTTCCATCTTCATTCCCTTTTTGAAGACTCCTAAGTCCCCCACTGCCCCTCACCCACACATCCTCATCCTCCCAATGGAACAGAATCCAGTGTTCACAATGAATACTAAAAATGTAAGCACTATCAAAGGCATTTTCTCAAAAGACAAGGATTATTTCTTCACAAAGATGGGTTTGGAGCGTGTAATATAAT